GTGTCCTTCCTCCCCGAAGTTGAAGCATCGCCAGGGGTTGCCCGCGCAGTCCTTGCCTCTGTGGCTTTTGTTGCATCTTGGGCAAGGGAAGCTTCTTGGGTTAGCTTCGTTGTTCCCCAGGGGCGGTCTTGGGTTGTTTGGGTTGTTCGGCCTTGTACCGGTGTCGTTCCTTGTTCTTTTCACCGGTGGTGCCCCACTCCCGGTGTTCCTTCTTCGCATTTGTTCCTGAACTCCGCGTTGGAGTAGTTGGATTCGATAGAGATTTGCGGCACTGACGTAAGCCTCGTTGAGGGTCCGAGGTCTGCTTACCACTAGTGCTTTCCGGGCTTCGAAGTTGAGGCCCGATACGAATCTTTCTACCTTGGTTACCTCGGTGGGGACAAGTTCTGGCACGAAGCGTGCCAGCTCGAGGAATCGTTTATGGTATTCCACGACGGTGGCCGTTCCTTGCTTTAGATGAAGGAACTCTTCGTACATGGATGCTTTCACGTGAGTTGGATAGAACCGTTCACGTAGTCGTGCCTTGAGGCTTTCCCAGTTGAACCCCGGTTCTTGTCGGTGGGTGGGTCCCTCGTGGATCCACCAGAGATCGGCCTCGTGTCCGAAGTAGAACAAGGCTATTTCTACGCGGCGTTCCTCCGGGCATTCTACCACCCCTAGAATCTTATCAAGAGTCCGGATCCATTCCTCTAGGACCGCGGGGTCCTCTTCTCCAAAGAATGTGGGTGGTCGGTGATTTGAAACTTGTCAGGCGACGTCTGAGTTTGCGTTTAATGGGGGCGGCGGGGGCCTATTGTTGCGAAGGGCCGCGTCACTTAGTGCCTGTGCGACCTGTGTTAGTTGCTGTAGAGATTGGGTCAAGGGGTCGTCAGTGGCGGGTTCTGGAGTTCTTGATTGCATTCTGTTCGGTGCCATGCTATCGTCTTTCTGGTCAGTGTTTATGAGAATGTCAAGTTAGAGTCCGATGCACTTCTTATGAAGTGGCAAGTGGGGAAGGGTTTTAGAATGGGGAAGGGTAACGTGTGGGGAAGTTGCGTGTGGGTTTCACGATCTCACCGCGTGTCCTAAGATTCCTGAATTCTACGTTCCTAAGTACCTAGAGTTCAAGCCTAGCGTCCTAAAGTACGGTCCTAAGAGTCTTACCCTAGGGTCAAACTTAGGCTCTGATACCAACTGTAACACCCCAGATTTTCAAGACATTTAAAACTTATGTAATAAAGATAGCATCTCATTAAATCCCAAAGTTTAACACATGCGTACGGGGTGCTATGCCACACCTGGACTAGAGAACCCAGGTGCACAGGCTAACTAGCTAATATCCTCAGAAATATAAATGCATAACATGGCGCGCAGGCCGAAAGGGAACTACTCTACTTCTACGCTCCAGTTCTAGCGCGCTCAAGTGCTCTAATCCTCCGTGCCTGAAAGCCAGATATATCTGTTCAGCGAGAGATGCTGGTAACCCACATCAACGCGTTAAAATACAATACATATAGAAATATATATAGATATACGAAAACCATTTGAGCATGAAGATATATCCTACGAACTCTAACTTTAAAACCGGGAATGACTCGACATATAAGGCCAGACACGAGCAACAGTTATAGCAAGCATATGCAGTTCTCGACAGATAAAGTAGTTACGGCAGAGCATAAACAATAATCATAACCCCACATAAGCAATTCCCAATATAGATCCCATAGTCACATCCCCCCAAGGTATTCGTAACCACAACTCATCCATATCACAACACATAACGCACTTTGTTGGCGCCACAGGACCGATCGCATGCCTATACATGAGGGTCAGCGCATATACCTCTGACACGGCCCCCCAGCACCTTGCTCCGTATCGCAACACGGAGGGGTCGATCGCAACCGACCGATGAACCGCAACTCATCATAGTGTTTGATCGCAACCAAACAGTGGACCGCAGCCCAAGAGAGTGTCATCTGACCGCAGCCAGGAAAAAGGACGAACCGCAGCTCGTATAGAAACGTTTGATCGCAACCAAACGGTGGACCACAGCCCAAGAATACCAGTCTGACCGCAGCCAGCTTCTGAACCGCAGCTCAAGATAACCAATCCGATCGCAACCAAATTCGGGTAACACACACACACATAACACGTAGCAAGCACAAGCAACCCACATTGCACATTGGGAAGGGGGAATAAACGTATAACAAGCCTATGCGTGATCCATCACATCCTAAGAATAGTCCTAAGGGGTTCATACTTCTTCCACCTAAGTCAACGGGATACCAATTCAACTAGCATGCAATATATTAGACTCATAAACCTACGAACGGTACCGAAACACCAAACTAGACATAGACACGATGAACGGAGTCCGTTGGGACACCACGGGGGTCGGGGGAACAACAAACGGGGAAGCCGGAAACCCGAGGTAGGGTGTAAACCAGCGGGTAGCCGGTGGGTGAGGGCTCACCCCCCGGCTGCCCGCTGGTGGCGACTGTTCCGGGCAGCGGGTGCCCGGCGGGCAGCTGCCCGCCCGCCGGTTGCCCGCTGCCGGCGTTGCCCAAATAGGCCGCGGGTAGGTGGCGGGTCCCCTATCCCCACCTACCCCCCCACTGACTCTTAACCCACAATTCCGCCCCGGGAACCATTGTGGAACCCGAAACCATGCTTAGACACTTTACAACGCAATTAACGACAACACGTAGGCAATTAGCGGATCAAATACGATAAACGAATGGTACATAACCTATCATGCTTTTCTAAACATAATCAACGCCCAAACATACGATTTCCCACCCGATAATCCAAGAATCAAAGCACACAATACAACCTAGGGTTCTAATCGTTTTTATATCAACAAGAATGCGATTCGCCTTCTAATTACAAGATTCGGTAAGAATAATATATGAGCATCAAGAATAACACACAACTATCAAGAACAACACATAATTATCAAGAATCCCAATTAATCATCAAGAACATCATAATTATCAAGAAACTCCCAATATCAAGATCATCAAGATTATGGAATCATTATATCAACATCAATATTAATCACCCAAACTCGCCATTCACAATAGTATGGGGGAAAACCCTAAGGGGGAAATCATAAGTATAAAAATACGTTTTGTTGAGACATGGGTTACCTCTTAGCCTTAATTAATTCCTTGGCTATGAAGGATCTTTCTTTAAGCTTTCTTGATTTCTTGATTTCTCCTAGGGGAATTCTTGGGGCTCTTTGGGTGGTGAGAGATTATTGTGGTGGGGGTTCTAGGTGTCTCCTAAGTTCCCTATTTATAGATCTAGGGATCTTATTCAGAGTCTAATCCTATTGGGATTAGGGGTTGGGTTTAGATATGAGGGCCCACGGACTATGGTGGACCTTTTTCCCCATTTAATCATTATAATTTATTCTTCCTCATGGGCTATCGATTAATTAATCAATTGGTCTTAGGGGCCTTAACACGGGGTGTTACAGTCACTTCCCAAAATTCAGTCACATCTATTAATTAATCCACGAATCTTGCTCGGTTCTTCAGACTAACTGTAGTAAGTTACGTGATGTGACATACATCTTTTGGATTCCATTAATAATAAAATGAATCTTTTGAGCAAAATTCTAACTTGGTTTTGGAAGGTGTACTTTTATTTTAGTATGCCCAACTATGGTGGGGAATTATATCTTCATTATTTAGTTGGACTTTAATTGGAACCAAAATTGATTATTTAGTATGTCCAACTAATGGTGGAGAATTATGTCTTCATTTGTTAGTTGGTCAATAAATCAATTATGATTATGTATATTATTAAGTTCACTTTATTAATTTCGCTGAAGAATATTTTAATCGGTGGGAGTGATCATTTAGCAAAAGATCATTAAGATACTCCACTAAAGTTTTTGGATTTAACTATTGTATTCATACATTCCAAATTGGGTTGTATGTTAAACAATAAGTCCAAAAGATTCCACAAGTATTAATCTTGTATTTGTTCATATAAATTAATAAGTTCAAATTATTGAACATTTGGTTGTGCAACATATTTATGAAAATGTTGTAACAATATTAAGAAATTTATTAGAACAAAAACATTTAACTTGTGGTGCACTATCATTTAATAAATTCTTTAGTGATTAATAGAGTCTCTAGTTTCTTCAAAATTGATCCTGATCTGACCATTTTGGTTTGTAAGGCTTAAGACAATTTTGTGGGACATATAAGTAAGACTCATTATGTTCAATTCATTTAAAGTGAACATTGAAGTTATTTGGGAAGTTATGGTGTATGTTCAATTCTTAGCTGTTAGAGATAGTACTTAAAGTTAACTTATAAACAAGTCATAGAATATAGTTAGCATTATGCTAACATTAAGAGATCTCTACTTAAGGCATGCTTATAAAGTTTTAGAGATCATACAGTGTACTCTTTTGTACAATTTGGATGTGTTTTCTCCTTCAGTTGTGCACATAATGTATTTTGAGAAACATCCCTTAAGGTACCGGGAATAAACATAGGGTTTGTTCATTAAGGACCAAGTTGGAGAATTAAAATGCATGTGACCATAATTGATACTACTCTGATTAAATAGAGGACATATCATTATGATTCGTGTGTTTTGTTCTTTGATGAAAGTTGTGCTAGTACTTGCACCAAGTGGGAGAATGTAAAATTTTCCCTAATAATATATATTATATATTATATATTAAGGCCTTAATTAAGTGGTGCAAGTTGACTAGGCCTATTAAGTGGTCTGGTTGGACTTAATAACTAGTAGTTGTTAGTCATTATTAAGTGGTCTGGTTGAACTTAATAACTAGTAGTTGTTAGTCAACCAAACTCTGTGTCTAATATAAACCTGGATTGAAGGGATACAGTTTTATGGATTAGATAGCACATTCAGTTACGGTACTCAGACTGCTCAGTAGATACCGATACACCATCTAGGGTTCTGAGTCAGGTCTGAGGCAAAACATGGCTAACGGTCTACCATTGAGAGGCAACACAACAGGAACATAAACTATGGTTGGAGATCTACATGGCTACGCTAACGCTGTCATAGGAGATCAGGTTTCTCGTATACTATGGTTTATCATAGTTAGATTATTTATATCTAACAATAAGCGGTCATGGAACTCACACAGCATCCACCGTCGGCGGTCGGAAAGTTGCCAATGCATCCGCGCTGGGCGGCTTCGCGAACGGCGTAGCCACCGGTGGGGCACCACTAACCCGCCTGGCCATCTACAAAGCGTGTTGGCAAGTGCCTTTCGATGATATGAAAGCAACTTTCTGCCAAGATGACGACGTGTTGGCGGCATTTGATCACGCGGTCGCCAATGGGGTTCAGGTGATTAGCATATCCCTTGGTTTATTGCCTCAAGATAATTACTTCACACAGGATGGCGTCGCGCTTGGAGCATTGCATGAGATGAAGAGGAACATTGCAGTGGTCGGTAGCGCTGGAAATTATAGGGAACCGTATAGTGTTACGAATGTTGCTCCTTGGATCTTCACAGTCGGCGCAAGTAGCATTGATCGAGTGTTTTCAGCTCCTAGTTAAGGTCAGAAAAATAAACTTCATTTTTTCCTGTTATTGCTTTGCATATATATATATATATATATATATATATATATATATATATATGTATATATATATATATATATATATATATATATATATATATATATGATTAATGTTTACTTCATTGAAAAACAACTGCAGGGTGAAAGCATAACTGAAATTAAGAAACAAGAGACACTTCCGCTGGTGTATGCAGGAGATGTAGAGATATCCCTGGATCGACAACTATTTCCCGGTTCGATTTCCTGTCTTATTTTGTCTTGAGCCTCTTTATTTTTTTCTAAATCAAATAGCAATTTTCCAGATTTTGCCGGCAAGACACACTTTCACCGGATAAAGTGAAAGGGAAAGTAGTGTTTTGTCAAGCTGGAGGTTTATCCCAGACATTAGAAGTGGAAAGAGCCGGCGGCGCAGCTGTCATATTAGGGAATATTCAAAGTGAGATACTAGTTGATAGTTTTCTGATTCCAGCTACAAACATCTTTAATCCTTCCGGGGCAGATGCAATTCTGAAATACATTTTGACCAACAAGAATCCAGTGGCCACTCTCATTCCTGGAAAAATAATTTTTGGTGCTAAACCATCACCGGCCATGGCTCCTTTTACCTCATTAGGTCCAAGTTACTCGGAGCCTAACATCCTCAATGTAACTTGTAACTAGAGCAGAGTTCATATATACACTGAAAATTATGAATTTCTAAAACAAATTTTATGTTTCCATGTTACATTGTAGCCTGATATTACAGCTCCAGGGCTTAATATTTTAGCAGCATGGAGTGAGGCATCCTCACCTTTAGAACTACCTGAAGATCATCGAAGTTTTAAGTATAACATCGTATCAGGAACATCCATGTCGTGCCCTCATGTCTCTGCTGTCATTGCGCTTCTTAAAGCCATACATCCTAACTGGAGTGGTGCTGCCATAAAATATGCTATTATGACAACTGGTATATATAATATAATGTATAGTACGTAGTGCCTTCACAAAACAATTCTCCCTCTCAGCACCTGTCAGATTTACCTGCACCTCTTGCCGTGATCTGGATCTGATACTATTTGTTAGATCAAGTGTTTACCACTACGCCAAAAGCTATAGCTGATAGCAAAGGCGCAACTTTATTTCCTTATAAACCGTCATCACATTTTTGAGAAGTAAGGTGCTATGCTTAGCCCTTCACCGGCTTCTGCCCAACAATTCCCTAACCCTCAATTGATGAATTTGGCCCTTTACGGGCTCCGCCCTATAAGTAGCTTAAAGCTAAGCCACAGATTGCAATAATATCTGCACTAAAAGTTCATTATTTGATATTCTCCTTTCCCATTTCAGCTACAACTAAGAGTGTGAAAGGAGAAGCAATAAAGGATGCATATGGAGAAGTTGCAGGTCCCTTCCATTACGGGGTAGGCCATATTCAGCCATCAAAAGCGGCTGATCCCGGGTTCGTATACGATTCAACATACACGGACTATCTTCTCTTTGTTTGCTCCAGTATCGGCACTACACTAGACCCCTCTTACAAATGCCCAAAGAAAGCTTCATCTCCAAGTAATCTCAACTATCCATCCCTATCAATAGCTCAGCTCAAAGGGTCAATGGTTGTGAAAAGAACAGTCACAAATGTGGGCACAGCAAACGCTACGTATTCTGTGGAGGTGAAAGCCCCAGCTGGATACTCTATCAAAATTTCTCCAACAGAGTTGAAGTTTATGGAGGTTGGAGAAAAGCAGAGTTTCTTTGTAAGTGTTAAGGCTGAAAGTGTTAAGAAGGCTGGGGAGTTTGAATTTGGTTGGTATAAATGGAGTGATGGGATTCACATGGTTAAAAGTCCAATTGTTGTTTCATCAGCATAGCTTTCGACCTTTGGCTTTCAACTTAGGAGATTCCCAGTGAAAACCTGAAATTATTATCACAATAAATTGTCAAACGCATGTAATAATGTAGCTGGTGAAAGATGGTCAAATGGATGAAAAGTTTTCGTTTCTTCATGGTTATGTAACATAATTTAGTATTTATATTGTGTAACAAAATATTTATAAGCACAAATAATGATTGTTATCTTTAAATTATGTACGTTCCTGTGTTGACAATTGATGAAGTAGATTTTGGGTGAGTGGATGTGTAAGAGGTATCGTTACACCAGATATCGTTCTCACAAGGGCTGTTGATAGGAGTAGAGCTTTAGGGTTTCAAGCACAAGATACTAATGTTCCTCATGGACATCTAGCCAAAGCATAGGGTTGATTTGGATAAAATATCAAACAACACACTTAATGAATACAAATGATAAGAAAGTGGAGGTAGATTATGGATAATTTTAATTATGTCTTCTCAAGTACACAAATAATAGTGTGCAAAAGCAAGAGTTGAACCCACATGGAATTGATATGATGCAATTAATAAACTTAAAAATAACCAAAGTCTTCAAGATCAATTATCAATAAAAATAAATTAAAACAAATGAAACTACAAGTAGAAATCAATGACAGGAAATAAATCATAATATCACCACGAAACACGACAACAACTAACAAGAAATTAAAGACTATCACCGAACATAAGCGTCTTTTTGCCCAAGGTCGCATGACCTTGGCCAAAAACGGCAAATACCCTAAGGGCGATACATGGCATGTTATTTGATTAATAGATCACCACAGACATTGCTTGGTGGCAAGGTTGCTGAGGGGGTTTGGTAAGGTAATCTTGTGAGTTTTGATCACTTACGAATTTTTGGTTATCTTGACTATGTTCTTGTTCTAAGTGATGAGAGGTCAAAATTAGATCCAAAGTCAAAGAAGTGCATCTTTTTGGGCTTCAAGATAGATGTAAAAGGATACAAGTTTTGGGATCCTACAACCAAGAAGGTGGTGATTCTTAGAGATGCATTGTTTGATGAGCATTCCGTGCTTTAGCCAAAGAAAGGAAATACACTGGTTGATGGTTCTAGCACAGTAGAAGTGGGTATAGACCGAGTTCCTTTGAATGAGAGAGTAGATCCACCTACAGTTGAGACTCATGAAGTACTAGATTCCACATCTGTAGCATGTTCTAGTTTAGAGAATTTACAAGATTATTATTTGGCTAGAGAGAGACCGAGATGCACCAATATCAAACCACCTAGCATGTATGCGTTTGAGGACATACTCTCTTTTACACTTCTCGTTACTAATAATGATCCAGTTACCTTTCAAAAAGTTATTTCTAGCCACCAAAAATATAATTAGAAGGCATGTATAATTGAGGAAATGGAGCCTTTACATCAAAATCAAACCTGGGAGCTAGTTCAGCTTCCTCAAGGAAAGAATGCTATAGGGTGCAAGTGGGTCTATAGGAAGAAGCCACTAGTATCAGAAAAAGAAGGGGAAAGATTCAATGCTCGGTTAGTCACGAAGTGGTGTTCTAAATAGATGGGGATGGATTATAATGGGGTTTTCTCTATGGTTAGACATACTGTGACACCCCGCAAATCCAAATTCTATATAGGGATTAATTAAGTAATTAATCCTAATCCAATTGGTAATTTATTCTTTAATTCCTGAAAATTTAATGGTCGAGGACTAGTAATTGACTAGTCAACCCAAGTCAAGGTGTTATACCCAATGTTGCAAAACACGCTAGGCGCCGATTTTATTTTTATTATTTTTATTTATTTTTTATTTTTTTTAATTAAAAAAAAATTTAAATTAAAATTTTTTAAAATTTAGTACTAAAACATAAGGTTTTCATAGTTATTTCTTAGAAACTATCTACAAAAGTGGTTGTAAAATTGTTCAAAAGATTGTTTAAACCATCTAAATACATAAAAAACTAAAATTAAGAGCTAAAGAAGCATTTTTTTGAGAAATTAGTGGACCAAACCGCTTTTGGTCGTTTGCGGTGTATAGATCTCGAAAAAATACGCGATTTGAAAAAAAAAATTGTCCAAAACGGACAACCGAGTCAAAAGTTATGCCTTCCGAAACTTTTCCGACATAAAAAATAAAAAATAAAAAATAAAAAAAAAAAAAATCCGAAGAACCGCCGAACTGGCCGGTTAGGCGGTCTAGGCGGCCGGCCGCGGAGGAGGCCGTTCCTCGCGGCGGCGCAATGGCGCCTAGCGCCTAGGCGCGATTTTTGCAACATTGGTTATACCTAAAGCTTTATGAATAGTCCCCTTGTCTCCTTACACTTTTTCATCTTAGTAAGGGTAAAGATGACTTTACACCTCATGCTTGTATCCTAATCTAACCTAAGGTCATTTCTCATTCTTCTCCTAACACACTCAAAACATAAGCTCTTCCTTCTCTCTAGAATTTAGCTAGCTTTCTCTCCATGATAAGTTTGAGCTTTCCAAGATCTTCAAAGTTTGTCTCCAAGATTCCACCTTTCCTACTCTTGAGCATCTAGGATGGTAAGATCTATGTTCATTTTGTGGTTTTAGTGCTTTCTAAGGAATCTTTTTCTAAAGATGAAATCTTTATCGTCTTTTTGTGTGTTCATGAAGTGGGTATTGAAGGTGAACCTTGTTAGGAGCTTTGAGAGGTGTTATAAGTGAAGGTTTAATCTTCAAGAGGTAACCCATGCTTTACAAAATCTATTTTACTTACCTATATGATGATTTCTTGGATTCTACATTTGATTTTTGCTATGAAATGTGAGTGTTGATGCATTGTCGTGTGAAAATGCATATCTAGAGCTTGTTATTAGGGTTCTTGTATGCCATTGCTTGGCTATTCCTTTGATTCAAGTCATTTTGTTGTATTTGGTGAGATTTTGCATGTTTTGGACTTAAATTTGAGCTTGGTGTTGAAAATCCCCGAAGGGATATTTTTTTACAGGGCATGGTACCTGTGGACGGAACGGCGGGTAGGGGTCCACCCGCCGCCCCACCCGCGGGGTACAGGGTGTTTGGGAAGTGGTTCCCGCTGGCGGAACCACGGGTAGGGGTCCACCCGTGGCCCCACCCGCGGGTACATATATGTTGGATGGTGGGGATTTGTTCCCCCTGATTCTCTTGGCTCGGTATTTGATGTTTTGACTCCCCGATGTTCTTTGTGGAACTATTTGAGTATCTTCTTGATGTTTCGTATATCTAGAACTATATGGTAGTATTCCATGTACGTTTAGGTGTCTTGAATCATGATAAGTGTTCAACCTTGTGATTCTTGAAACCATGACGAGTCTTGTGTGTTCTTCGGAACTATGTTTTGTTTACCCGTTTGATAAGCGTGCTAGTTCGGTGTTTAAATGCTAGCTTGTGTGGTTTGTCCTTTCCTATTGTGGATGATGTCTTGTGTTAATCATCGTTGTTGTCGGATTGTGATCATTTCCTTGTTGAGTAGGGTTTCATATCTTCGTTGTGATCCGTTGAATTATTCCTATGATGGTGTTGTGTGTGTGGCTGTACCTAGATTGCTTGATTAATGGAATGGGACATTAGTCACCAAGGTACGGGAGTGGTCCTCGTGGTGGCCATGGCGCGATTATGGAGTTTGTGACCTGTGTGTAAGGTTCACGTATTCTTGGGTGGCTGTGGCCAAGTGTGTGATCGGTACCCTCGTGTACTATGAAATCGATGGTATTGTTGGAGATTGTTGGAGTGGGGACGACGGTCCTCGGAGGAATAAGGTTAGACTTGGAGTACAGGGGTCCTGAAGGTAAATGTTGGAACTAGATATAAGGTTGGGGGTAGCCATAAGGTTGGAACCGAGCATAAGGAAGGATTATTGATTCGTGATGTGTGATGTCACGAAGGCATGTGTTGCCGATGTGTGTTTCCTTATCCGTGACGAGTTCTGTCACGAAGGCATGTGTAGCCAATGTGTGTCTTTATTTTCTTGTGTTGAGCATGTCGGGTGGTATTCTACTGAGTGATGGTAGAATACACCTTGAGCCTTACTTGCGTGTCTTTGTTACTTCGTGATGTCTTGAGATGTGTTCCCTTATTCTTGTTGTGAGTGATATAGAGTCTTGTGGTTGACTTCTATCCTTGGCTTTGAACTTATATATACAGTATTCCGTTTCGATAATGATTTTGTATATACTATCTATGTATGATACTTAACATGTATTGGTGGGTTACCAGCATCATTCACAGACCGGGCGTCGTCCCATTTATTTATGTGCTTTTCAGGTCCCGAGTAGAGGCGAGCGCGATATAGAGATGGCTAGTGTAGTTTCCCTGAGACCCTGTTTAGTTTTGTTATGGGCCTGTGAGCCTCTTGTGTTGAACAATAGATTGTTGTTGGTTTGACCTTGTCTCATGTTTAGACTTTTAGATTGTTGATGTTGATGATGTTCTTGCATGTGCGTTCACCTTAGTGTGGACGTGGCATAACACTCTTCGTTTTCCAGTTTTATATAGTTAGACTTCCGCTGTGTTTTGCTTATATTGTGGTTAGATTATCTTGCATATCTAAGTTTAAAATGGAATGGAAACCAGGGGTGTTACAGTTGGTATCAGAGCCTACGATGCTAGACTCTAGACTTCTAAGTGATTAAATGTGGTTTGAAATCTTAAGATGACCGTAAGAATCTAAGTGTTTAGGCTTAGTACTCTTAGGACGCGCGGTGAGCTATGTGTTGTTTACATTTGCTTGCTTGCTTGTTGTTTTGTTTGTAATAGTGTTGTTGTTATAGAAGCTCGGTCATGGCTCCACCGTGTCAGCGTACCGTGATGTTGGAAGACGCAGGTGATGTGGCTAAGAGACCTAGAACGTCGGGAGTTAGTAACACTCCTATTGTGGTCGAGCAGTGGATCCGGAGTGGCACGTCCACTTGGATAAGCCCCAGCGCAGCTACCTTGCCGAAGTCTCGTGATCTAAGAAGGAGTGGTGGGTTAGGAACCCAGAATTCGATGGAAGAGTCATCTCAAGAGAAGACCCTCATCCTAAGTGAAGCTCGGGCTGGCGACAGTGACGTAGTAAACGGGACTTTTCTTGTGTGCAAGCTGTCCCAGCGGTAATCTTGTTCGATTTTGGAGCGTCCAACTCGTCCATATCTCCGGGACTCGTGAAGACGCTGGGCTTAATCGAAGGCGTCAGAGTGAAGTTAAGTGTTAAGGTGGCATCCGGAGAAGTTAAGACATGCGA